TAAGAGAAGGTTTGTGACCACGATCTCCATTGGGTGATGACAGTGGAAGCAGGTAGAAAAACAGAATCCAAGACCTTTAGAGGAAGAAAGACCTAGGCTTAAGTTAAATTTAACAATTTGAACAAAGACTTGTTCAATGGTCTTTATTTTGAAACTTCAACTGGGAGTTTTTGTAACACTGAACTACTTGAAAGTTAAACTTTTATAATTGTGTTGTAATTATGATCATTGAGTATCAACGTTTTAGAATTTTCTCATGCAAAAAAATGTTTACTGCAAGCTTCTCTGATAAAGGCCTCATTTCTCAAATATCTAAAGAACTGAATCGAATTTATAAAAATATGAGTCATTCTCCAGTTGATAAACGGTCAAAGGATATAAACAAGATGAAGAAATTCTAGTTAGGTGAAAAAATGCTCTAAATCAATCAGAAACACAAATTAAAACAACTCTGATGTACCATCTCACACTTTCAGATTGGCTAATAGAACAGAAAAGAAAAATGACAAATGTGGGAGGAGATGTGGGAAAATTGTGACCCTAATGCACCATGGAGTTGTGAGCTGATTCAGCCATTCTGGAGAACAATTTAGAACTGTGCCGAAAGGGCTCTAAAACTGTCCAATACTCTTTGACCCCACAATAGCACTACTAGGTCTGTATATCAAAGAGATTAAAAAAATGGACAATGACCTTTTGTTGTTCAGTCGTTTTTCAGTTGTTTCTGACTTTTTAAAAAATTATTAATAAATTTATTCATTTTTAGTTTTCAACATTTACTTCCACAAGATTTTGAGTTCCAAATTTTCTCCCCATCTTGCCCCCCTCCCCTCCAGATGGCATGCATTTTGAATACCCCTTCCCTTAGTCTGCCTTCCCTTCTATCTCCCCCACTTCTCTTATTCCTTTCCTCTTCTATTTTCCTGTAGGGCAGGATAGATTTCTGTACCCCATTTCCTGTATTTATTTCCCAGTTGCATGTGAAAACATTTTTTTTTAAACATGTGTTTTTAAAACTTCGGGTCCCAAATTTTCTCCCTTCCTCCCTCCCACCCACCCTCATTGATAAGGCAGGCAACTAAATATAGGTTATATATGTGCAGTTAGGCAGAATGCTTCCGTAGTAGACATGCTGTGAAAAACTAACTCTATTTCCCTTAATCCTATCCTGCCCCCCCCATTTATTCTATTCTTTCTTTTGACCCTGTCCCTCCTCAGAAGTATTTGTTTCTGATTACCCCCTTTCCCAATCTGCCCTCCTCTCTATCATCCCCCTCCTCTCTTGTCCCCCCCCCCCCAGCCACTATTTTCCTGTAGGGTCAGACAGATTTCCATACCCAATTGAGTGTGTATGTTATTCCCTCCTTAAGTCAAATCCAATGAGAATAAGATTCACTCATTCCCTCTCACCTTCCCCTGTTTTCCCTCCACTATAAGAGCCTTTTCTTTTCTGTTTTTTGTGAGATGATTTACCCCGTTCTGCCTCTCCCTTTCTCCTTCTCCTAGCATAATCCTCTCTTACCCCTTAATTTTATTCTCCAGATATGACCCCTTCATCTTCAACTCACCCTGTGCCCTCTATCTATCTATCTATCTATCTATCTATCTATCTATCTATCTATCTATACATACATATAATTTTTTCCCTCCAGCTACCCCAATACTAGCAAAGGTCTCATGAATTAGAAATAACATCTTTCTCTGCAGGAATGTAAACAGTTCAACCTTAATAAATCTCTTAATGATTTTCTCTTTCTTGTTTACCTCATGTTCCACTTGAGTCTTGTATTTGAAAGTCAGATTTTCTATTTAGTTCTGATCTTTTCATCAGGAATGCTTCAAAGTCCTCTATTTCACTGAATGACCATTTTTTCCCTGGAAGGATTATACTCACTTTTGCTGGGTAGGTGATTCTTGGTTGCAGTCCCATCTCCTTTGCTCTCTGGAATATTATATTCCATGCCATGCGGTCCCTTAATGTAGAAGCAGCTAAATCTTGTGTTATCCTGATTGTGTTTCCACAGTACTTCAATTGTTTCTTTCTGGCTGCTTGCAATATTTTCTCCTTGACCTGGGAACTCTGGAATTTGGCTACAATATTCCTAGGAGTTTTCCTTTGGGGATCTCTTTCAAGAGGAAATCGGTGGATTCTTTCAATTTCTATTTTGCCCTCTGGTTCTAAAATATCAGGACAGTTTTCCTTGATAATTTCTTGAAATATGGTATCTAGGATCTTTTTTTGATCATGGCTTTCAGATAGTCCGATAATTTTTAAATTCTGTCCTTGATCTATTTTCCAGGTCAGTTGTTTTTCCAGTGAGATATTTCACATTGTTTCCTAATTTTTCATTCTTTTGGATTTGTTTTACAGTGTCTTGATTTCTCATAAAGTCACTAGCTTCCAATTGCTCTATTCAAATTTTTAAGGAAGTATTTTCTTCAGTAAGCTTTTGGACTTCCTTTTCCATTTGGCCAATTTTGCTTTTCGGGGCATTCTTCTCCTCATTGGCTTTTTGGACCTGTTTTGTCATTTGGGTTAGGCTATTTTCTTTTTTCAAGTGGTTTTTTTTTTTTTTTAATTTTTAGGCAATTGGTGTGTTATGCCCAGGGTCACACAGTTATTAAGTGTCAAGTGTTTGGTCTGAGGCCGGATTTGAACTCAGGTCCTCCTGACTTCAGGGCCGGTGCTCTATCCACTGTGCCACCTAGCTGCCCCTGGGTTAGACTATTTTTTAAGGTGTTATTTTCTTCAGTATTTTTTTGGGTCTCCTTTAGCAAGCTGTTGACTTGTTTTTCATGATTTTCTTGCATCACTCTCAGTTTTTCCTCTACTTCTCTTACTTGCTTCTCAAAATCCCCTTTGAGCTCTTCCAAGGCCTGGGACTGATTCATATTTTTCTTGGAGGCTTTGGATGTAGGAGCTTTGACTTTGTTGTCTTCTTCTGGTTGTATGTTTTGATCTTCTTTTTCACCAAAGTAAGATAATATAGTCTGACTCTTTTTGCACTGCTTGCTCATGATCCCGGCCAATTACTTGAGTTTTAAACTCTTTGTTAATGTAAGAGTCAGTTTCCAATGTGGGGAGTGTACTGTCCCAAGCTTCAGAAGTTTGTACAGCTGTTTCCAGAGATACTTTTAGGGACATGAAAATTTTCAGTTCTTCCAAGGTGCTGTGATTAGGGGGGAGATGTTTTCTCTCCACCACCACAACAAGCTCCACCATGCCAGGACTCCTCCTCGCCCCAGGACTGCCCCTCAGAACTACGACCCAGATCCAAGCGCCAGTAAAGCAAGAGATTCCTGCCTCAGCACTGGCAAGAGGACCCTGCAATCCCCCTCTGATCAGCCACTCGATTCGCCCTCAGTCTGTGGGCCAGAAGCTCAGGAAAAAGCCGCCGCCCCGGGCCACACTCGAGACCTAGCTCCTCTCTCACTGTAGTCACAGACTTTTCCTACTGACCTTCTAAGTTGTCTTTGGTGTTCATGGGTTGAGAAGTCTGGAAACCGCCACAGCTGCCCGCGATTCAGTCCTCCGAGGCCTGCTCCAGGGTCGCTGCGGCCTGCGCTCCCACGCCGAACTGCGCTCCTCTCCCTGCCCAGTGCGATATACCTTTCTGATCAACCATCCAGGTTGTCTTGGGCTGGAAATTTGTTTCACTCTGTGTTTTTGTGGGTTCTGCTGCTTTAGAATTTGTTTAGAGCCATTTTTTTTTACAAGTATTTGGAGGGGTTTGGGGGAGAGCTCAAGCAAATCACTGCTTTCACTCCACCATCTTGGCTCTGCCCCCTCTGTTTCTGACTCTTCATGACCGCATTTGGGGTTTTCTTGGCAAAGATACTAGAGTGGTGTGCTGTTTCCTTTTCTAGCTCATTTTACAGATGTGGAAACTGATACAAACAGGGTTAAGTAATTTGCCCAGGGTCACACTGCTGTTAAGTGTCTGAGGCCAGAATTGGAACTCACAAACGTGAATGAATCTTCTTGACTCCAAGTCTGGCATTCTGTCCAGTGCACTACCTAGCTGCTCCCAGAAGACCTATATGGGGGCTTCTAGATGGCACAGTGGATAGAGCACCGGCCCTGAAGTCAGGAGGACCTGAGTTCAAATGTGACCTCAGACCAAACACTTGACACTTACTAGCTATGTGACCCTGGGCAAGTCACTTGACCCCAATTGCCTAAAACAAACAAAAAAAGAAAAAGAAAAAAAAGACCTATATGTACAAACATATTTATAGCAGCTCTTTTTGTGGTGGTTAAGAATTGGAAATCCAACGGATGCCCATCAATTGGGGAATGGCCAGACAAGCTGTGCTATGTGATTGTGATGGAATGTAATTGTGCTATAAGAAATGATGAGCAGGATATTTTCAGAAAAACCTGTGAAAATTTAGCTGAACTGATGCGGACTGAGGTGAATAGAACCAGAATATTGTACACAGTAACAATAGTATTGTACCATGAAGAAGTGTTAATGACTTAGATTTTCTCAGCAGTACCAGATCCAAAACAGTTCCAAAGTTCTTTTGATGAGAAATGCTGTCCCTCTCTAGAGAAAGAACTGATATAGTCTTGAAGGTAGATCAAAGCATTCTCTTTTTAACTTTATTTTGCGTGCGTGCGTGTGTGTGTTGGCAGTGGGGTCTGTGCTTTCTTTTACAATATGAGTAATTTGGAAATATGTTTAGCATGACTGCACGTCTATATCTAATTAATTGTTGTCTTAGAGAATGAGGCAGTGTAGGAGGGAGGAACGGAAAAAATTTGGAACTCAAAATTAAGAAAAGTTTGAAAAATGGTTTTACATGTAATTAAAAAACTAAAATATTTTTTAAAAGGAATTTTCCCCATGGAATCTGCTTTCTTCTCTTCCCTTTCATTTCCTGGGAAAACAAACAGAAAACTTTAAAAATATTTGATAGTGATAATATGTAATGATTTCTAAGTACCTACATATCATAAAATCTAATTTACAAGACTTTTTTTCTTTTTCTTTAAGGAATCAGAGATGGAAACAGAGGAAGAAGTTGACATTTTAATGAGCAGTGATATTTATTCTGCAACTTTATCAACCAAATCCATCACTTTCACACGTGCCCAAACAGGATGGCTTTTCCGGGAAGACAAAACAGTATGTGTGAATCAAACATTTTGCATCTGTAATAAAACCATTTATCTCTCGTTCTACCTAAGCCTTTATCAGTCACGAAGTTGAAAGCAGCTGACAGAACCAGTTTTAAGAAATTTATCCTCTTTGCTCTGTTATCCTGCTACCGGGACAGAGTCATAGGCAGTTATGTGGAGGCTGCATGGCTGAGGATGTGTGTTCTGTGATAGAACTGATGAGGGCATGGTTGTCCCGAACTGATTGCTGTTTTGCAAAGTTTGATCCTTCCAGCTGCTTCTGGAAACCACAAGGACGGAACTTTTGATTCTGTTTTGGGTGGCATGATTGGAAGTTAAGAAGATAAGTCTTGTTGCTTGTCTTCCCCCCTCGAAATGCCAAAAAACACTTGCTTCCCTAGTTAATTATTCAGTGGCATTTTTATGTCCTGGATTCTCCTGCTGCTCACTAACTTGGTGTCTGTGGTTTGGAGAGATGGGGCGGGGGGGGGAGATTCAGCAACTGATTGTATATGGGGGAGAGAGACCGCCAGGATGACTGAGTGAGCGGAAGGATGGCAGTCTTTCAGAAGGATAAGGAGCTTTGGAGGGGGTCTCACATTCATTGTTGACATCTTGAATTTGAGATGTCTCCCAGCTCTCCAGGTCTGGAACAGCCACCAGGCAGCTGAACTCAGACCAGGTGGGAGGGCTGGAAGGCTGCTGATGACCATGCAGATGACGAACCAGCAAGAGACTGACGAGGAGTCAGACACTGTCCCGTGTTATTTTTATTTCTTTTTAGCTGGTTGTTACTTTTAAAACAGTGTTGTTAATTTCCTGTCAAATTGAAGAGCACCTCAAGAGGCTGTGACTCATCTAGACCTCTTAGTGTTTATTTTTAAATCTCATCTAAAATTTGAAGTTGATCAATTCTAATATATTTTATTTATTAGGATCCAAAGGATGAAGCTTTCAATTTCACATAATTTTCAGTGAATGATGTAATTGTTGAAGATTCCTTTTATTGTAGATATTCTTAACTTTTTAAAAATGTGATTTTATTTTAGGAAAGGGTGGGAAACTTTTTGGCCTACTTTTACCTGGTGAATGGGCTTGTTTTAGAATCCAGAAAGAGGAGAGAACACCTCAGTGAAGAGGACATTCTTCGGAATAAGGCCATCGTGGAGAGCTTAAGTAAAGGCGGAAACTTAATGGAGCAGAATTTCGAGGTATAGTGAGCAAGGCGGACTTTGTCCTGTCATGCTGTCAGGCGAGAGAGCATAATCTTTTGAGAACAGTGAAATTTTAAATTTTCTTTGCTTTTCACGTATTACATGTTTTCTTTCTAACTTTAACCTTTTTATGTAGTTGACATTTAAAAGGGGGGAAATAGGCCCCATAAATCAAGAATTTAGTCTTGACACTTCCTTTTGAGTTCTTTTGCTATTGATCAATTTTTTACTTAAAAAATTGCCTTGCCATTTAGTGCAAACATAATGTGCAGTGTTGTTAAATTCTTGCCTTCTTGCCTGTCACACTCTCATGAAATCCTCTTTCTAGTTGTGCCGCCACAGAGCTCTGTCCATCCCTGATTCTTCATGCTCTTATTCACCCAGCAGTTATTTTGTTCAGTGCCTGTACTGTGGTGTATGGGGTGTTCAGGAGGACGAGCACCTCTGGTGTGAGGGCTGCCTGTATTTCCAGCCTGAGCCAGAGAGGAAGAGCCAGTCTCTTTCAGAACTAACTAAGGAAACAACAGTGCAGAGCTTCACGCTTCAGTGGGATCTTTGTTTCCTCTTGCTTTCCTGGTGATGGTGGTTTCCACTCCTTGGCATTTGGCTTGGCTGTGGACACACGAAGCTGGGTGCACTCAGTTTTCTGGAGGTCTCTGTAGCAGTGAGGCGTGTTTGGGCAGCTCCTGGGAACAGATTCACTTACCTTTTGGAATGGTGAGTGAGGCCCTCTGCTTTCTGAGATGATCAAGATCACAGTCATGGTCATTCCTAGTATTTTAAACAGGTGTCACTTTTGCCTCGTGGCAAGTAAGTGAGTCGTTTGCTAGCTGCCACGTTTTGGGGGCTTTTGGGATCTTCTTGAGGAGTCATTGGGTTTACCTTGATTAATCAGTATGGGGGTCCTTTCTGTTGACCACTTCCCATGTTATCATTCTCACTTACTTAGTTGTAATTATGCTATGTCTTTTTCTCTATTGTTCTTTTCATTATCTTTACCCTGAATGGTTGGTTGTCTGTACACAGAAGGTTGATTAGAGGATAACTTTTACTTGAGTAGTAGTATTTTCCTGTCTCTTCCAATAAAATCGTTTTCTTGTTTGTAATGTTATTTAGCGCATCCTAGTTTTCTTCTCAGGGTGTTCAAGGTGTGAAGGCATCAAGAGTTTTGTGGGGTCTGTGCTTGCGTCGCTGTGCTGGAGCCGTGCTTTTACATACATTTCCCACCTTTGTGCTAAGGCATTGTGTATTAGAAAGTATGTTGACTTAGTTTGCAGGGTTATACTGAATTCTTTGTAGTACTTCTGTATATCTTTCTTCTGCACTGGTGTTCGTGCTTAAGCTGCAGTTATGTTTTGCAAACACAGCTGTTGCCCACAGATGTACGTCACAACGGACCACGTCCAATTTTGCTTTGCTTCTCCCGGGAGTGCCTACTTTGATGTAGTCCCACCTTCCTTCTTTCTTTTATAAAGGGAAGGTTAGTGTTATTATCACAGAAATGGACAAGTTGACAGGTGGGAGATACTTCATTAGCCACATGGGCCAGCCCCTACCTGAAGGGTAGACCAGTCAGATAGGCCTGTTGTGGTCATTTCCTCGGCACAGAAGGCCTTTGAGGAGCAGGAACCCAAGACTTCTTAATTAGCCCTTTCCGCTTTGAGACAGCTTTAATTGTGAGGCATCAGCCTTAGACTTGCCCTTCCGTACCATCTCACACCTGTTGCTTCTTGTTTTCCTAGGGTAGCCCTAAATTCTACCAGTTTTCCCTACTCTTGGCATGTGACTTTACCTAACCTATTTGTCACTTACATGACCTGCCCCTCCCCCTTCCAGACTTCTTATCTCAACCTTCCTTCTGACTGACACACACACAACCCATACACACACACACACACACACACACCCACACCCACACCCCCACACCCCCACCCCATCCCTCCTCCTCTCTCTCCCTTCTCTTAGCTCCTCCTGGCTTTCCTGGTTTCTGTGAAGTCTCACCTAAAATCCCACCTGCTACAGGAAGCCTGGTGTTCAGGGCCTTCCCTCTGGTGATTATTTTCTGTTGCTCACCTGGTATACACTTGTTTGCATGTTGTCTCCCTGGGCAGACTGTGAGCTCTTTGAGGGCAGGGGGTGTCTTTGGCTTCTTTTTGTATCCTCAGTGCTTAGCACAGTGCTCGGCACACAGCAGGCACTTAGCAAATGCTTGTTGAGTGATTTGGAGGCATGAGGCCATCCTGTATAGGGCTCCTTTTAGTCCCTGGTAATTGTGCTTCACAGATAACTTCCTCTGAGCCTTATTCATGGTTTAGCATTTCCAAACTCTCCAAAGGTTCTTTCCTTTGTATTTTGGCATGTGCAGTTTTCTCCTCTCATGAGGATGTTTAACTTTGGTCACACACAGGGCTCACACTCACTGTCCCCATATCTACACATTGCCCTTTACAGTCCAGATTTTTTGCTCTTTCCCTAAGAAGTCAAACTCAGTGACCTTTCTTCAGTCTTCATTTCCTTAGTAGAGATTCCCTTCCTTTGGTGTCCAGGATAAAAACATGAGCCTCGTTCTAGTTCTAGTACTCTGTTCTTCCTCTGGCTTCTGGTTTTTTATGGAGAAGTTATTCCTTTGTCTGTCTTTCTGTATGTCTCTGCCTTCCCTTCTCCAGCCTAGATCTCAGTCCCACAGTGATAGCTCTGGACAGCACAGAGTTCTGTCCCTTCGTCCGTCTCTGGGTACTCCTGCCCGTGGCTGCCCTCCTCTTCCCCCAGGAGGGATGGCCTTGCTGATGTGTATTACTGGTAGGACTTCTAAGAAAACATTTTAGTGTCAAAAATACCTGAAACCGCCCTGTGTCCTCTCCTCCCCCAGTGTCAGTGAACCCCGGGCTGGATGGCCGAAGATCTGTTTGTCTAGGCTTGCAGGCCTGTCAGAGAAAGCAGAGAGACAAGCCAAGGCTCCCCTGTGTGTTCTCTTTTCTGACTTTTATGGCAGCTTCTCACCTGCACCCCCATTTTCCATTGCAGCCTGTCCGAAGACAGTCTCTGACTCCACCCCCACCTAACACAATTACCTGGGAAGAGTACATATCTGCCGAGAATGGAAAGTAAGTGTTCTACTGAACTTCACTTGGAGGTGGGCGGCTTTGGAATCGAGGATAACCAAGTGAAGCAACTTTTCAGATTTGTCTTTCTTTCTCTCTCTCTCTCTCTCTCTCTTTTTCTCTCTCTCTCTCTCTCTCTCTCTCTCTTTCTTTCTTTCTTTCTTTCTTTCTTTCTTTCTTTCTTTCTTTCTGTCTTTCTGTCTTTCTGTCTTTCTGTCTTTCTTTCTTTCTTTCTTTCTGCTAGGCAGTGGGGTTAAGTGACTTGCCCAGGGTCACACAGCTGGTGTCAAGTATCTGGTCTGAGGCTGGATTTGAACTCAGGTCCTCCTGAATCCAGGGCTGGTGCTCTATCCATCGCGCCATCTAGCTGCCCCCAGATTTGTTTTTCTAAAAGTCAGGAACCTCATCTGTCCCCCAGATTTTTGATTTACAGTTGGATTTCTTTCCTCACAATCAGTGCAGGGCATGGCACTGTTGAGTGGAGTGAATAAGGAGTTGGCCTTGGGGTTCCAGGCCTCAGGAGAGCGGTGGCGAGCCAAGAGCAGGTCCTGCAGACTTTATGGGGGTTTGGCTGGCTTTGTGACCCTTGGGGAGTCACTCATTTCCCTGGCTCTCAGTTTCCTGTCTGTATGAAGAATGGGTTCATGTGCACATCAGAATGGTTGGTGCTGTTTACTCGGCACACATTTATTAACTGCCCGTCATGTGCCAGGCACTGTGCTAAGTGGGTTTTTACAAATATGATCTCATTCGATCCTCACAGCGACCCTCGGCGGCAGATGCTATCATGATCCCCGTTTTACAGATGAGGAATCAGAGGCAGATAGAGGTGAAGTGACTTGCCCAGGGTCACACAGCTAGTGTCTGAGGCTGAATTTGAACCCCGATCTTTCTGACTTCAGGCCAGCTCTATCCATTGTGCCACCTGTTGATATGTGTAAGGTACTAAAGCTGAGGATAGTCACTGGTTTAGATAAGAGAGTTGGAATCCAAAAGGATTTTTTTGCTACCCCCAATAGAAGGTAAGAACCTTGAGAGTGGACACTGTTGCCTCTTTGGTGCAGTACCTGGCGTGCAGGAGGAACTTCATGAATGCTTGTTGGGTGGATGTCACTGGGCTCAGGTGAACTGAATAAGATAATAATGAGTGTAAAAGTCAGTGACGCTCAAAGTAAACCTTGTGGCAGAGGTTGGAAACCCGCTTGTCAGGGCCGTTGCGCAGGAGGCTGCCTCTTCAGGCGCAGATTGCACCAGATGACCTAGAGATCCGGGGCTTGTCATGGTGAAGGGAGAAAGGACCGGGAGGCGTTTTACGGGGCATCAGCTCGAGGGGTCGTCAGGGTGAAAGGGCAAGCAGACGAGCTCATCTGACTTGGAAGCGACGGGGGCGTGGGTGCCAGTGGACGCACAAGACCGCCCCAGAGTCCGGGCCCAGTCCAGCTTCGCATACGCTGTCAGTCAGATTTTGACAGTATTAGCAGTTGCGTAATGTATCACTTGTCATACAGTTGTGTAAGAGGCAAACTGTCAGTAAATTGGAAAAGAGTACTCCAGCACAGCACGTTTTTCCCTAGCGAAAGGAAACCAGTGTTAACCTGACATGTTAAAATTCAGAGGCCATCAAAACTCTCCCATCTGAATTCCTGTGAATTCCTCACTTCATTATTTCCCTCTTACTAGAATTTAACCACCATGATTAGCAAGGAAAAAAAATTGATGTTGGTTAATTGCATCATCTTTCTATTTTATTTCAAACAACCTATTTTATTTCACTTCCAAATAAGCAGGAGAAGATCCAGAATTCACTGACGTAGGCTACTAGGTCATCCTCCAAAAAGTTGGGGGTCGTTGATGATTATGAGTCATGTACATGAATCGGAAAAATTTAATTAATGCTGGGGATTATTCACACGTGGCAGAGCGATGTAATTCTTGTTCTATACAAGAGGCAATGTGATCCTCTTCAAATAGATGCCTCATGTATTGGGAAATATAGGGTTATTGAGAACTATGAAACCTCCATGGAATATATCGAACTGGGAATTTCTAGACAATCGATTTTATTTTTGTTAATTTAGTGTTTTAGCACATTTTAAGACATCATTTAACAAAAATTTCTAAAATGCATTATTAGCACAGTGAACATAATAGAATATTGTAGGAATCTTTCTGTAAAGTGAAAATAATCTGTTGACAAAATTAATTGTCTTATTGTTTTATTTCCTTTCCATTGTAGAGCTCCTCATCTGGGTAGAGAACTTGTTTGCAAAGAAAGTAAGAAAACATTTAAAGCCACAATAGCCATGAGCCAGGAATTTCCCTTAGGAATTGAATTGTAAGTTGAAATTCCTTACTGTAGAAATTTATTAAGAGTTATGGAGATTGTGTCCAGAATGAATTCTTAGTTTTGGCTTTTTTTTGCCTTTAAAATTAGATCTTAGTAAACATAAACTACAGATCAGATCACTGAACCCAAATTCCAAAAGAACTGACTGACAGATGAGACACTTATTAGTTTGACTTTAGGCAGAGATGTATCGATCTGAGTTATTGCTAAAAGTGTTTTTTTTTCCCCCTGACCTTTCTTCCAGATTATTGAATGTTTTAGAAGTCATTGCGCCCTTCAAGCACTTTAACAAGCTTAGAGAATTTGTTCAGATGAAGCTTCCTCCCGGCTTTCCTGTAAAGCTCGGTAAGAGGGTGTTCACGCTAATAACCTTATTGCCTTAATGAAATGAATTTGTATTTTTGAGAGGTAGATTGTCAGATTGATTACTAACAATTAGAAGTATAGTGATGTGGCATGAAAAACATTTATCTGTCCTTGTATTTCAAATAATTTATTTTATAACTTATTTTATTCTGTCAAAGAGAGGTTTTCCTCATTAAAAATTAAACATGCCCACCTGTGTTTTCAAGCTAGAAATTGGAAGTTTTTATAGACAACTGTTTCCCTTTGTAATGACAATGTTTTCAGTGATTATCTGATATGATGACATGTTCTAACCACTTCTGCCAATTCTTCTGCATGGCTATTTCCGTTAAAGACAATCCCATTTTGCTGATCACCAGGCACTAATGGGTAGAATTGGGTTCAGGTGTGGGTCGGTGCAGGAATTTTAAGAGGAACATTAGATAATATAGCACGTCTAGTTTGTCACCCTCAAGCAACTCATGTTCCATCTTGGGAGCAGCCAGGATACAGTAGATGTGCATGTAAATAAATCCTAAGTAACATCTTGAGAAAGAGAATGGGGCTTGTGTGGGAGGTGTCCCCTCAGCTGTCCTTTGGAGGAGTGAAGGTTAGGTGGACGCACATCCCGCAGGTGGTTGATAACTTCCAGAGCTATAGAGCTTGAAGACTGACAGGAAAGATGCAACAGGTCCATTGTGTTGGAATGGGCTGTATGGGGAAATGGGGAGGGCTTTACATGTTGAATCCAGCAGTTAGTATTTTATCCTAGAGGCTATAGGGCCGTGCCTTTTTAGGAGGAGGGTGACATGTTCATATTGGTTTAGGAGTATCAGTTTGATAGGTGTGCTGTGTGGAGGATGGAAAGTAGAGAGTCTGGAGCCAGGAGACTACCTTCCCCCTCCCCCCACAAAAAAGGACAAAAGCAGCCCTTGTCTTCAAGGCGCTGGCAAGTGATGGGGAAGGATGCTCGGATGCTGCTACGCTTGATAGGAATAGGGAAACTTGGAAGAGGGGGAGGGTTTGGGGTGAAGAAAATGAGATCCCTTTTGCACATGTGGAGTATAAGATGTCTGCTGTCTGGATGTAAGCCTGCAGGTCAGGAGAGAAGGCAGGACTCGATAAATAGATTGGAGACACATCAGCAGAGAGCTAATTAGGGAATCAGTGGGAGATAATGAGATCCAGAGATTTGGAAGGATGGTATGTGGAATCAATGTTAAATTTACTCTCTTAAACCAGAGAATAGGAGTTAGGATCAAAGGGTAGAAATTATATAGCAAGTAGATTTTTAAAAATTCACACACACACACACACACACAGAGTTTAGTCAGCAAAAAATTCACCTTCTCCCTCCACTCCTGACATCCTCAGTTGAGATAAGGGGAAAAAAAGCATGTTTCAGATATGTATAGATATTCCAGCAAAACAAATTTCTGCATTGACCCCCCCCCCCAAATTTCACAAGTGTCATTCTGTACCCTAGAAGTCGATTTTGATTTATTTCAAAATCAAAAGGAAAAACACGGGCTCTCGCTTGGAGCTGAGGCCCAGTAAATGGCGTCCATGGGTAGCCAGTGCCTCCTCACTGGAGGTATTCTTGCAGTGGGTCACCTCCGGGGTCAGCTTAGTCAGTGTTCATTAAGCTCCTTGTTTGGAAGAGTACAAAGCTAAGGGATGTCCTCAGAGACTCTAGAGGTGCGAGGTACAATACGTGTGCGTGGAAATGAGTCCAAGGTTGTTTCGTGAGTGAGAGAATGCGGTGAAATAGTAGAGAGGGAGAAGAGAAGAGGACTGGGGCAGAGCCTCACGGACACCCAGGGGAGCAGATCTGCCTGGCGTGAAGATCCTGCAAAGGCATCAGAGGAGTGGTTAAGTCAACAAACATCTGTTGAGCCTTGTGCCGGGCGTCGTGCTAAGCCTTAGGTCAGAAGAGGATGAGGGACAGTGTTGAAGGAGAGTGAGACACCCAAGAGAAAGGAACTAGAGAGGGCCGAGGTGCAGAAGTGAAGAGTGGTGTCTAGTGTCCAGAAGCAGGGGCTAAAGTCACAGGGTCAAAACTGCCGAGATGTCCAGAGGGACAGAAACTGAGGAAAGGACGTTGAATTGAAAATGGGGGTCTCCTGTTCCCCGGTAGAGAGCTGTTTTAGTCAAGCACCGGTGTAGAAAGTCAGATTGTAGGGGGTCAGAGGAGATGGAGACAGGAGGAGGAGGCGTTCTTCCTACAAGTTGGACTGTGAAAGAGGGAAGACACAGGCCTGTGCCTTAAGGGAATGGCTGGCTGTCAGATCAAGGGTTTTTGGGTTTAAGCATGGGAGACCTTGGTGTCTTTGTAGGCAGCAAAGAAAGAGCGCAGTGGGATTGAAAACAAGAAATAGCATTATTAAAGGGGCAAGCTTTGCCAGAGAAAAGAAGAGCAGGAAAATCAAAAGCCTTGTCAAGAAAGTCCACTTCCAAGGGCAAGGTGGAGAGAATGGATGATGAAGACAGGTTTTGAGGTGTGGAGTAGTCAGGGAGAGGGGGAGCTTATGATGGCTGCTTTCTCATTAAGTAACAGGAAGGTTGGTACAGAAGGTCTGAGGAAAGAGGGAACAGGTTGGGAATAGTGGTTGAGAACAGTGCGATAAAGGGTCAGATCAGAATAAAAGGACTGCGCAGTTGAGATGAAATAATGTTTGTAGTGAGGTCAGTTTACAAGGTGGAGAAACCCAGATTTAGTCTGACAAGGTGATAGGAGAGGGCCAAGAGATTTTAAGGGTTAATGGGCAGTGTGTGCTGGAACTCATCAGAATGGGGAAAAAAGGTTAGGTGTGCCTTGAGTGCGGGATACTAGACAGGAATGTTAGCAGGAACTAGAAGTTGGAGGTTGGGGGGGCTGAGGGGGCAGGCAGGGAGAGGACGAAAGTTTGAAGGACAAGAGGTATTAGTTGGAGAGAAGAATTTTGGACCTCTGGATTATGGTGATGGAGCAATCGTGGGGATAATCAGCTGAAGGTGGCAGAAATAAAGATTGAGTTCAGTGGAGTTTAGGAAGCCAAGGGGTCCAAGTGGATGCTCACATATGTTGGAGTCCCAAGTTTGAGAGTTGTGAGTAGGTTGGAGAGAAAGAAACACTGTGCTTGACACTGAACTTTTTGAAGGAAAAGGGAAATGACAGTGACAGAGAGTTAGATGGGCTTATAAAATTGGATAGACTAAACCTCAGAGGAGGAGGATTGACTGAGACTCAGTGAGGTTTGGAAGTTGGGGGAGGGATCCGTTTTCTCTTCCAGGCCCAGGGCTTCAGGGGTGATGAGAGAAGTACTGCGGAGGGCATCGAGGAGCGTTCATTAGAGGACCAAAGAGATGGGAAACGTGTGAAGGGGTAGCTCCTTTCACTCCAGGTTGACTGTCAGTTATTTATGTGGTTCAGGATGTTAGCCTTTTGGGGACTGGTCCGTTCTTTACAAGTGATGTGGTGTTGAGCAGAGAGTGCTCAGAGGAGGGCACTGAGGCTGGTGAGAAAACTGGAGAATAATCAGCTAACCTGGAGAAGAGAGAAGTACGGCGCCCTTGACAGCTGTCTTCAAGAGCAGTCATGGAAGAACGATTGAGTCTACTCTGCTTGATCCTTGGAACGATGATTCCCGTGCATTGGGAGGGAAACTTTCCGCACAGGGTGAGCTGCAGAGACATGGAACGGGCTTCCGTTGGAAGTCTTTGCTCATGGGCAACTGTTCTCACCACGCTCCTCCTCCGTCCATTGAAGCTGACTCTTTAGGGCCCTTCTATCCATGAAATGAAGGATAAAAACATTGACCAAGTACTCCTTGTGTGCCAGGCACAAGATGAAAAAAGAGGTGCTGCCCTATAGGGTTCCCATCATAGTGATAGGAGGTGAGTGGGCATGAGTGACCGACAGTGAAGCCGGACTCTCACCAAGGCACCTTTTACGGCTCGAGGATCTGTGAAACAGGGTCCTCCAGGAAGAATTCCTGCTGGGGTGGGGCGGGGGGGGGTCTGGGTTTAAAGCATAGGCGTTTCCTAATACAGAAGTAATGCTCGCTTGTTTGTTTTGCCGTGGAGGATGGGTGCTGGCTCCTCTGAGGGACAGAGGCCAGAGTGAGCCTCTGCCCCAGCGCTTGCTCAGCACAGAGCTCTTCCCTTCAGGGCTGGGGATGCTTTTGTCGAGCTGTTCGTGTCACTGGCTATTGTTCATTTCCTCTTCTCTGTAGATATACCTGTGTTTCCCACCATCACAGCCACTGTGACTTTTCAGGAGTTTAGATATGATGAATTTGATGAATGCATCTTCACCATTCCTGATGACTACAAGGAAGATCCCAGCCGGTTTCCTGATCTTTAACTTGCCTGGAAAAATAACACCAGCTCACCAGTGAAAGTAAGCGGGTACAGAGAAGCCGCTACATCGTCCAGACAGAACGGGTGTACTCCTTCCGAAGAGGAAAGGGAAATCCCCTGAAGCAGCCCATCGGTCACTCATCCACTGTGAGCTGGTGGCTGCCATTGTCCGCCTTTTTGAAATACACATGTTGTAAGCTTGGCAGTTTGACACCTCAGTGATTCTAAGGAGTTGGGATGTCAGCCAGCTAGGGGGGCTGTGGTTTGTTTTTACACCTTTTTACACTTCTTGGTGATACATGGATTTAGCATTTAAAGAAAACACTCCTGGACCATTAACGTTTGAAAAAATGAGATGTCTTAATAGAGATCGAAGTCCTTTTAAACTTGTCATCTTGTATTCAGGATGGCAGATATCCTTCAAGCTTGGTTTTCATCCATTGTAAAGTATGTCACATTATGTCTAGTTCAGTCACTTGAATGTTGTTGAACATAATGAACTGGAAGGAATGCCGTTTTCTGTAGATGAACCAACCAAATGGTACCATTAAACAGTTGCATTTTCACATTGCAATACATTTCAGAACTAGCATTCACTCTGCAGGGAATACGGTACCTCCTCTTAGCACCTTAGTGCAACTCCTGTGTGGTGCTATTCATGTTTTTATCTGAATTCTCAAGTGGAAAATGTTTCTTACTAATCTTTCTGCCATAGAGTCTCTAATTTTCTTTTCTAATCTATGTTCATGATAAAGTATTGGTTAGCATGCTTATAAATGTTCATCTGACAAATTCTAGCACTTTCAAAAAAAGGAATTCGAAAGTTTTGAAATTGGCTCTCCGTTCAGAGCCCATCTGCCCGTCTGGCAGCCTTGTTTGTGGCTAGGATGGGTTATGCGTGAACTGAGAAGTGTCACAGTCTTAAAAAAGGGAAAAAAAAAAACCACAAACCTAAGACTCTGAAAATATATCCTCATAATATCAAACACTTTGAATATAGGGTATAAGTGTTTCATATAATATATAAAATTCATTTGTTAAATTTTAGAAATGTACACTTAAGTTTCATGACAATTTTTACTTCATCTTTTTTTTTCTTAAGCCACGTAAAGGAAAATACATTGATTTATTTTGTTCTCCCGGTGTTCAAATCATGGATTCTCAGTTTTGCATTTTAAATCTTTCCTATTTATTTATTCCAAGTTGGTTTGAAGGTCCAAAGTTGAAAATAAATTAGTAAGAATTATGTCTGACAGTCACACAGTGTGAAATATATTTTAGAGGATTTAGCTACAAGTAAATGTGATTTATATAAATGTGTCCTTGGTGACTGTACTTAAGACTGCACCTGTCAGTTCTTTCTTATGACTTGCATTTCAGCCTCTTTCAGGAGGCCCACTTGAATTGGAATTAATTGGAATGGGTTCCTTTACCAAGGTGTTTGTCTCTATCTGCTGTTTAGATCATGAAATAAGTTTGTCAGGATTTCCAGAACAAGTCACCTGGTTGTTACAAAGGCAGATTTGCTCATTTCAAACTCTCCTGAGGTTTTTAGCCTTTATTCCAAGAGGATCTCTGCACAAACCAAACACTGGACCAAAGCAGCTGCACAGCCTTAGCAAGCCAGTGTGGGAAGTGTCAAAGACTAGAAGGCTGACCGTGTTGTGTTGCATTTCCACAGTGATCTGCCAGGGAGCCGATGTTTACAGAGCAGGGTTATGATGTGACATAGAAGATGCATTTAGGAAGTCAGAAGCAACACTATGAAGAGGAATTTTTTACAAGGATCTCTAAGGCTGCTTTTTCCATATCAGTGTATATGACTTCGCATATATGTTCATGTTTTAGTATTAAGAAAGGAAATAGTTTTTATAGTGCAGAAAAAGTATTCATGGTTAAATTTTTAAAGTCATAATTACTGTTGTATGTGGCCTCTTAGACCTTGGGGAGTGGGTGTTCGTTATAGTCCTGTGTCCTTGAAGGAAGAAAAGCTGATTTCTCAGCCTTTCTCCCTTTCGGCTTTCACTGGCTTGGGCTGAGAATCGTCCTGTCTCTTCAAGGTCTGCCCCTGGGAGGTGGAGCACGCGACAGGGCCACTTTAGTTTCCCATGGTTCGTGTGTAGAGTCTTACATAAAGTCGTGTAATTTATTGGGGGGTGGGAGGAATCACATCTCATGTAATCACAGTGTGGGCTCGGTCAGTATCTCCTGAAAGCTGTGAATATTTTACCGGGGTGCACTGGATCCAGAAAAACTACTGAGTATTTTTGCACTTAGAATTTCTTTGCACATTTGTACTTTTTAAGAAACACAAGTTCTCCATTCCACTGTGCTGTCGTCTTCCCAGTCACAAAGGACAAACGATGCCCCCGTACCTCTTCCAATGGCAACTATTAGGAATTGACTCTGATGCAAATAAACTTTTCGCAGTATTTCACAGATTTTCAGGAATGTGATTTTTAAATTAGTTTATTACATAGGTACTGTTTCAGATGAAATCATCAAAACACTATATTCCTTTGGTAGTATGCATAGTAGGACAGTTTGTTTTTAAAGTGCTACAAATATTTTAAAACTAGGATTTGCTGTTTACATAATGCTGGAAGGGAGTATTGACAAGTGGTTTTTACCAGAAAATATTCTGCCCCTACTGTGTGTAGCATTGATCCATCCCCCTCTTCCCAGTACTGTCAGCTTCTAGCTGACAGTGTCCATCCATAGTAGTCAGGAGGGTGGAAGTCTTAGTGACACAGGTACAAATAAACGAGCCAATGAAGACCTGGCACCTGGAGTCCTTACCTTAAATGCAGAGCCTCAGGTCAGGACTGGTACAACAGAGCATTTCTGGTGTCCAGGCTGCAGGCTGCTAAAAAGCCGGGAGTTCGTCTGTGACTTTACCTAGGAGATAGGTTAGAGTAACAAGTACCAGTTCGTTTCTTTCCCCTCTGAGCTGTCTAGGTTCTATAGAAGTTGTGTCTGGGTGGAGGAAGTGGGGAGGATGAAGAGAAAGCTTGAGTCCAATAACCATGTAAGAACGTTGTTTGGACCTGTGGATCCATTGCTTGGTGTGGTGTAGAAACGCCCTCTGCTGGAGCTTACTGTCTCCACCAGGAAGTGCTGATCACATCAGATGATGTTGCTCGTTTTGAAAGAAAAGATGTAGAAGAGATGGATACCAGCCCGACACAGTCTTCGTGTTACGGACACTTCCTTAAGACGGAGATTTCAGATCAGAGTAATTATATTCCTTAAGAGAATAAATGAATTAGTAGTAACCTTTTAATGTTTATGGTGAGGCCACGTTCAGTTTGCACTTGAGGATGGCTGCGATCTGGTATACACCCTAAGATAACACCCATCACCGTCCACGTAAAACAGATGGAGAGAAGCAGTCCCCGTCTGCCACGTCCGCTCCTCTATTCAATGTCTCCTTGCCCTTCCGGCCTGGACATCCCCCCACTCCCCACTCCCTTTGAAGCTGGGACGATCACAGACTTTGCAAAGGCGGGGAGGCTTTGACTTGTAGAACAACGTCGTTTCATTACCTACAGATTTCATGGCAATAATAAACACAAAACCCAGTAAAACGATTTTGCCTAAGAACTACTTAACTACTAGTAATCTGCCAAGTCTGGTCTATAAATGATAGGATTTTCTTTCAGTCTTTTGTAAAACGAAATTTTTAAGACTAAGTCATTATTGAACTTTTTAAAAAAAAACCTTTAGAAAACATCGTTGCTGTTTTTGAGGCTAAAATCTAACGAGCTTCATTTACATATGAGAGGCTGAGACTTTAGTAACTTGTCCAATATCACACAACTAGGGAATTTCCATTTGGGGTTTTGGCCACACTGTTTTACCTCCCTAACTATTAGTGATGATAAAATGTGGGAAAACACAATCTTTTAAGTACTAATTGGACCCACAGAATAGGAAGTGCTCTCAAGCAGCCTCCTACTTGTCATCTTACCTTGGTTTTTACAGAGTTAGAAAAAGGGTTTTGAAGTCATTTGTGACTCATGGGTGCATTGTTTCGAACGCTAGGGTTTTCACTGACTTAAGTTTACACTCTTCACTTAGAAAGCTTGTTAACTTGTTCTTGAGTTTTGCTAAATTTCCTTTAATGCTAGAAGTTATCTTCTTACTGTGCTTCCGACATCCAGGGACCCCAGGTCCTTAGGAATTCTTAGGCATTTAACCATTTGTTATTCATGTGCTAACCTACCTTTTAGCCTTTTAGCTCGCCAGCACCTCTTAGGTTGTATAGGTAGAATGAAGAAATGCAGCTATTTAGTTCTGGTAATAAGGTGTCATTTTCAGAAGTTATCTGTAAATGCAAATATTCTGTAATTTTGGAAAATGTGCACTGGGGAACCCAACCACTTTTTATTTTTCCTTTTAAGTGAAAGAATGTTATGGAAAGGACTCATGTCTTATGCTCCCCTCTGCAATATTTCTACAAGGACATTTTTTTTTTGTTATTACAAATAAAGTCCTAAATTTTCCACTGATTTCAAGTTCCTTTCCCCCCGCGAGTCCTTAAGATTTTGCTCATTTTTATTCTCCATTTTACTCTCATCAGATGAATAAACAAAAAAGTTATTCAGGGTAACCTGTGTAAGCTAACCACTGGTATGTTGTGGGCACCAGAGCAGCAAAGGAAGGAAACCAGTTATTCTAAAGAAATATTTGATTGTTAAAGGGTATAATTTTGTGAACTAGCAGCAGAGACCTAAGGATAGTTCTGTCAATACTTTGAAAGCAAACATACAGAAAACTGATCAATGTATATATACCAACATGGATTAGGTAAAACTTAGAAGCCTTCATATGGCCTGAACTTCATAATTGGCCTATCTAGAGATGCCCATTTCAAAGTCATAGATCAGCTTCCCCCTAAGGACGGTAATAGGAGATGTTTTAATTTAGGATCTAGACATTCTTAGTATACTCATTTCTCATCACTCGGATAGAATGTCTTATCCCAACCCTTCTACTTATTAACAGAAAACTGGCCTGAATTATGGTAGCCAAAATAAGGTTTGGTTTATGGCAGACAGAACTGAGTCAGGTCAGCTTGGTTTAGTGCAGTGAACTCCATGCTTGGACTGGATCTGAAACCTTTCCATCTTAATGGGACCCACTAGACCTTCGGTGGCATTAAAAAAAAACACAAAACAAAACCTGAGGAACAGCTCAGTCCCCTCCATGCCATGACTAAGTAGAAAACATTAGTATTGGACTTGAGCGTATTGAAATTGAGGTTAAATCAAGAGACTTGCCCAGAGTAACTGTCAGGGAAGAAGCAAACTGAGGCATCTTGCTGACCCCAATCTAGAGAGAGCTCTACCTACCGGTTTAATCATCAAATCATTTGATAAAGCTGTTGAACTTTTATTGTAAGGAAACAAGCAGTTATTACACCTACTATATGCCAGGCATTATACTACGTGACTGATTTATAAACATTCTTTCATTTGATTCTCACAATCCTGGGAATCTTATTCCCTTGTATAAAGTGAGGAAACTGAGGCAGGCAAGTTCAGTGACTTGCCCAGGGCCACTTAGTATCTAAATACCTAAAGTGTGGATTCGAACTCAAGTCTTCCTGACTTGACCCCGTTGCTCCAGCCACTGTGAGGTTAAATAACATGTCCAGGTTCACACAGCTAAGGGTCTGAGCACATTCAGAAGTGAATTCTCATGTTCTCCAGATAAATTTGAACCAATAAATAACACAAACACTTTTCTAGTAAAACCAGTTTATTATTTAAATCATTTTTCTTTTTACTACCAAATACAGAACAAAACTCAGTGTGGAGGCAGTTTAACTTGATTTCACCTGGGTATCTGAATCTGTATTTACACTGGCCCGGCGGCGAGTGAGCCAAAGCCCTGCTGCAGCCCTCCCTGTAATCGGCTAACCAGTCGATCCCTCTTTTCGCCGCTGTGTCGAAACCACTGGCCATGTTTTTAAGCTCCATTTTTCTTCTTTTCCTTGGATGCAATAACAATGTTTCTGGATGGACCTTGTTTCCACATGGAACAAGTATTTAATGAGACTGAAATTTTCACCTTAAAAAGCCAAGCAAATGTCACACATTTAACAGTTTTATTTATTTTCAAAAGCAGTCATTACTTAGGACCTTCATTTACCAACTCACTAACTTTATATATTGTATAGGCAAAATTCTTTTTTTTTTTAAAAAAAAGTTACATTCTATAAACTCTAAAAATGATGCTGCTTTCATATATGGCAAACTGTAAAATGCCTGTGATAAAAAGGCAGTTAAAAACGATTTTTAGATTTTGACTTGGTTAAAAATCTAAAAGCACCAAGTCTTTTCTCTCATTTCCCTGCCACCCACCTGAACAAACAATATGCATGGAACCACTCAATAAATATGCCACTGAAGAATTGTACACTAGATAACACACCCTTGACACTAATCATTTAATAACATTCCAGAAAAGGCATGTGTTTTTTAGATTTCATTGAAAATATAAAATGTACTGGACATGGGTGGGGCTGTTCCTTAATGGAAAAACACTACAGTCCATTAAAGCTCACCTTTGTTTCAATGCCCTCCCACCTCCCATGAGGAAAAAATGACAAGAAAATGGAGGAAAAATCTCATGTAAAAGCAATTTGAGTTTTACGATGTCCTACTCTAAATCTTGACAGAGATGAACTTGGTCATCTGGTACCTTGCTTACGTACATGGAGAGAAAAATCAAATTCCTTAGATAAATGAGGTAAATTTCATACATTCAGAAGTGTAAATGAATACAAGTACAGTTTTACAGGAACATGAGCTTAAGTTTCAGGGTTTTATTATCAAAGTCTTGTAAAACAATTTCAGAAACTGTACATCAACATGGCACAGACTGTATGTCGCCTACTTCTGTTTTTACCTGCACAAAAGTAAAAGCTCTGGAACTGGGTAACTAAGAAAACAGCTTTCCTAACTATGCATATAACCTGGAGTCACTGTGTGTGAGATTACTACTGCAGGGACAGTTAACACAAATTTATTAGTTTATACAACTTGAGATCAAATAAAAAGGACATTATCAAGAAGAATTGTTTTAAAAGCATACAAATGTCAATTAAAAATGCACTACCTTCCCTCCCCCCAACACTGAGTTCAAAACAGTAAGAATCAGAAGAAAAACAAAACAAAAACTGTACAACAGGATGAATGGAAATCAATACAAAGTAAGTTTCAGAGATGGGTGCTGATAAATTAATATTACAAGAAACCTTAACTCCCAATGTAGATGTTAGGGAAAATGTAGAACTCCATTTCAAAATATGCTATTTGCTACCAGTAGAGATTTTTTTGGGGGGGCGGGGGGTGAGAAACTGGAAAAAAAAAAAAGAAAAAAGGTCGAGTGCATCTTTAACCTTTGAAAGTCAAACCACACAGAAAAATCAGCCACGAGGCTCCTAGGAGATTCTCGATGTTAACGATGAATGTTAATTTTGTCATGTTGACCCACTGAAGGCCCTAAGCAGACTCCTTTCTATGATGTAGACTGAAAGAAACACTGAGGATATTCCTGCCACAATTAACATGCAATCAGTGCATTCCCTATACGGCTCTAGTACTGTAAGGAATCAAACTCTAGAAATTGTCTACATGAGCTTATTTAATAAAGGAGGAGAGATCATACAACATCCACAATCCATGCCTGCTGGAGATGCATGCAGCTGGTCACGCTTGTGCCCGCCGGCAGCCCCAGCACAGTAGGGGGGCCCAGGGCACCCCGGCCGGGAGGAACCACTTGGAGCTCAGAGCTAGATACATCTAGGTTTGGGGGAACAAACAGGGCAGACAGAGACCATGTGAGGAATGACACCGAGGCACGTCCACAGCTGGGCGGGCGGGGGCACGGCCCCCCCTCAGTCACTCATGTCCATGTCCTCCTCGTGGTGGTCGTCCCCGTTCACCTTGGACTCTCGCAGGGAGTCCCCGCTGCCCTTCTCCACCGAAGGCTCCGTGGCCTTGGGGGAGCCCACGCCCACCTCGGGGGCCTTCTTCTCCTCCTTCTTCTCCTTCTCACTGTCGTAGCCCTGTTCTTCTTCATCGTAATCTCTCGTCACCTGCTTTGCCGGGAAAGACAAGCAAAGTCAAACTCTGCCCCTGGGAGAACCGCCATGGCCAAGTGCGTCCGCCCCACCCCCGTGGGAGAACCCCCCAAGACATACTTTGACGTCTTTGTCGCTCTCTGATTTCCTTTCCCGCTCTTTCTCTTTCTCTTTGCTTTTCTTCTTCTTACTGGTCGATCGCTCCCGTTCGTCTCGCCTCTCTTTGTCCTTATCCTTTTTCTTTTCTTTTTTGTGTCTAGGATGACAGGTTGGAAGGTGGCGGTGAGACACGGTGAGCCGGCCCGTCTAAGCGTCTGCTGCAGGCAGAGCGACCTCCCCCCGCCCCCACGGCCTCCCTCCTCAAAGGCGCTCACCTTCTGGGCGACGGGGAGCGAGACGGTTTTCTCTTCGGAGAGCGGGGCTTTTTGGGCGACCTGGTTCCGCTGCGGCTCCTTCTGCGCCGCCTCTCCCTGAGGGGACAAAAGGGCAGGTGGCCTTTAAGAAGCAAAGGGAAGCCGACCACACCACTAACCAAAGGGCACTCAGCTGTTTCCAGAGTCCTGACTGTGTGCCTGGCCCCCTACTAAGCGCTCACCAGCATTGTCACACTTCCCTCCCTCTTCCTCACCGCCCCCACACACATCCTTCATAATCATTTATTCTGAAGATTCAAAAGCACTGCCACTCCCTGTCTAATCGTTTCTCTAGCCCCTACTTCGCACCAGGCCCTCCTCTAAACCGCTTTACAATTTGAATCTCACAACCACCCCGGGAGGCAGGTGCTCCTAATTAGCCTCATTTTATACAGATGAGGAAACTGAGGCAAACAGTGGCAGAATCAAGTGTGAGAATTTGAGGCCAGTTTTGAACTTGGGTCGTCTGGACTCTGACACTGGCCCTCTATCCACCGGGCCACCTGCTGAAGTCAGAAATTGAAAATAGCCTTGAATTTTAAGTCAATGAAGCTAAGGTAACACCACCACAACAACTTATCTAAAGCAGCTTTAATGTTCCTGCTTTCCAGTCCAACAGGCCCTGTGCCCGATTTCTTTGCTGTGCAAGCTCTCCCCCAGCCCGTCTGGGCCAGCCTGAACCCACGTGTGGGACGATGCCCTCGGAAGCTCTCCGGTGGCTGCGGGACAGGCCCTGGCGGGTTCTCTTCCAAGGCCCCCCCCCCTTTAGTTCCAGAAATGGGCCCCAAGAGGACTGAACTAGACTACATGTCACTCTTCCTTCTGTCTGTCAGGGGAAAGGAGAACCAGAGAAAACCGAGTTTGACTCCAGGCCTTGTTATTTACTATCTATATGATCCTGGGTGAGTCCCAACCTCTACAGGACTTTGTTTTCTCATTCGTAAAATGGGAATATTGGACTTGATGACCTTTAAGGTCATCATGATCCCTGTATGCCCCACTTATTAACTTAAATAACCATTCTATTTGCCCATATCTGAACAAATTCTCAAATGAGTCCTTCTCTCCAGTATGTAATGTCTTTAGTATTTAGTTTTCTGGTGATTCCCATTAAGTAATGGGAGTAAGTGTTAAATCTCCTAAGTCAGGGATGGGCAGTGGTGGGTTTCAATGGCCTGCAAGATCCCCGAGTCAACAATGTAAAATGGCAGTCAGCATGGCACTGGCATCCCGGAATGTGATACAAGGACGGTCCCCCAAAGGACGGAGGGGACATCCCTGAGGGGCTCAGACCAGAGCGACATGCATCAGCAGAAGGCACTGCCTGGCAGGCACGCGCTTAGAGCGAGGCAACTGAGATGCTGGGGAAATCCGAGGATGGGCCACAACATCTGGCACGTGGAGGAGGGCGAGACGGAAGCTGCTGGGGCGGGGAAGTCTTCCTCTTTTCTTGACCAACCGCGTACTCCTCTTTCCAGGTCTTCCTGACTGAAGGCTCTTTCTTCTTCCCCCATGGTGAGTTTTGATGAGTCACCATCCATGGGCCAGCCCAAGCACGAAGGGGTTCTGGGCCCTCTTCCCCAGTTCGCCTGTGGTTCCTAAAGCCACCACACGTTGCCCGCCACACACAGCTGTGCATCCTTTTGCCATCTTGAACCTACACACCCAATACGAGCTTGTCTTTTCCTCCAAACTGCCCCTCCGACCTTCCCTCCACACGCACACAGCCCAAGCCTTCGAATTGCTCTCCTCGGTTTTTACAGTTTTTACCTTTTAACCCGCTCTCTGCACAATGGCCAGCGACCTTCCTAAAGCCAAGGACGATGTGACACTTCTCTGCGTAAGAGGCTTCAGTGGCTGTTGCCCCGGGATAAAATCCCAACGCTACTGGTCTCCAACGGATGCATCTCATCTATTTCATCTCTTGCCTTCAAGACCTCGACTCTCAGAATCCGATTCCTTCAAGGCTCTCCTACAGGCAGCCCTTCTGGATTCTTCCACCTGTCAATACCCTCCCTCTCCAGCTTCAGGGCCCAAATGTCTGTGCCCAATACAAAGCTTAGAATGAACTGAGTAGGGAAGACAGTGAGATTCCGTAAGGAAAGAATGCTCTCAACAAAAATCATCACAAAGTGGGGTAGGTTATGGTAGAATAAATTTATCCTCCTCTATCTGGCAGGGAGACTTGAAGGGAAAAGGTTCTCAATTCAGGGGCAGAGCCACATTTCCACCAGACAATCATCTGGGACCAAAGAGGCAGGACTGACACCATTTCCTCAGTTAAATCTGCCCCTGAGCACTATCACGAAACTGAGGCAGGAGTGCTTCTCCGCAGCACTGTCCAAATGTCTGGTTACCAAAGAAGCAGCTTCCAAATGCAAACAAGTGCGAGGCACACAGGTCTCTGCTCTTGCCCTCTGCCAGCCTATGCCCAGGTTCTGTAGTCCTAGGTCCGTCCTTTACTAGTTGAGTCACTTTTAATGACCCTGCTCACCTCGTACAGAACCACTCTGACAGTCCGAGAAGCCCTTTCCTCACCGTTCATTCGTAGGTCCAAGGCCTAACCTGTGACCCTAGACACTGACTTCCCTGCTCCAGTCTGGTGCTCCCTGAGACAAGGCCCCATCATCAAACACAGTCGCTGCTCAGAGCTGCCGCCCACCTGCTTTCAAGGCAGCTTCTCTCCATCCTCGTCACTGCTCTGAGCAGACACGAGCTCCCAAGAAGGGACCCCAAGTGTTTGCCTGCTGGGACTCCTGCGTGCAGTGACAAGTTACCCTAATCTAACATTTCACCATCTGAAGGACTAATACGCACAAGATCAAGTGACCTTACCATAAAAGAAATACAACCCCCCCAACTCCCCACCACATAAAAGGCTCTAAAGATCTGAATGGCACATATATTTTCTTTTGATTCTACACAAATCAAGACACTATAGCTGTTATCTCATTTTACAGATCAAGAAACTAAGGCCCAGGGAGGTTAAATGAGTTGTCCAGGTCACACAGAAAAACAGGGAAACATGTTCTCTGGCCACATGTGGGTATGCCCCAGTTACTGAAGTCTGTGGAAGGCTGGCTGACAGAAGCAATCACGCCAGCACCCAGCAAACCCCAGGCTCTTGCCAGGGGATGAGACACAGAGGAGCTTCCAACCACGAATGCCCTTTCTGAGGGGGCTGGGGAAAAGAAAGGCATCCTGGAGGCAGTGGCCTAGAGGCCTGGGAGGCGGAGGTAGAGAAAGAGGTGGGCAGTTTGCCGGGACGGAGCTGAAGCCAGAGAAGCCTTTTGGGCAGCAGAGCGACAAGTGTCAGAACAGGAGCCAGCAAGGAGCGAGTGTAGCCGTCAGGCCTGACCCAAGCCTTCGCACATGCCAAGGCCATCTGAAGGAGCTAAAATGGACACCAGGTGGAGGAGTGGGACAGGACAGGACCAAGGAAGAGGCCAAGAAGGACCATGTGCCCATGAAACAAATTCCATTGTGGAATTTTAGGTCAAGAAGATAAGTTCTATTTTAGAAACGGAATTTGTGATAACTGCCATTTTACAGATGAAACGAAAGCCCAGTGAGGTCAAGAGCCTTGCCCAAGATGACACAGACTGCGTGATCCTTGGTGAGCAGCTGAACACACTGTGTCCCAGGCAGGGGGAGGGAAGCCCAGGAGTGAAGGGCCAGCCAGAGGGCAGTCACTTAGGCCCACTACTGCAGGTCAAGGAGCCCAAGGAAGGAGCTGAGGTCACTGCACTGGACAAATGAGAGATGAGAGCAAGGCAACGACACTCATGAAGATTAACCTGACTGCCACGTACTCTTCCACTGAACCCTTGCTTACGTGGTACTAATTTAGCCACAAGTGCTCAGCCATCACTTTGGACAGTGAGGAGCGACTGTCAACACCATTCAACTCACCGGCTCGTGCTCCGCGACCGCCGCGCCGTGCTGTAGCTTTTGGGTGGCGTTTTAGAACGCTTCTTTTCTTTTTCTTCTTTCTTTTTGTCTCTAAAATGTGAATAAGACAGATCAATTTGAAAAGTTACCATCAATCTAACATGCACACACCTCTTAATGCATGTCAGAGAGAAACAAAAATCTCTACCTTTCTCTTTACAGGGACATATGAGGAAACAACAGTAACTCAGGGGAAGTTGTCTTTAAAAATATTATTTTCTCTTTTGTATTCCATCATTATGGTGGAAATGTTCGTTTCCACAGCAAAATTCCGCCCCCAAAGATGATCTTAAAAAAACCTGTCAGAGGAACATTTAGAGCCAACTACATAGTACGCTGGGTACTTGTCCACCTAAAGAATGCTTTCACCTTGGCACATTTCAGATGAAACACTTTGAGATTCTGACTGGAGATTGTTTACCTGTCTAACTTCACCAGTTCGGGACCTCCCTGCCTGAAAACCCACAGCTGATGACTCATCCCAACCTCTGTGAAGCAACCAGGAGGTGCAGAGCATGTGGGGGTGTGGGATCGAGATGTTCTAATGCTTCAAGTTGGCTCTTTATCAATTTATTTCACACTTAATGATACATGAAATCTCAAAACAACAACAAGGACAGCGGAGCTCCCTTTCGGTAGTGAGAGAGGGGAAGAAAACGACCTTCCTCTTATTCGGAGAACCAAAAGGTCCTTCACCCAGGAGGCTGCCAACCTGGCCGTCCCTGGCCAACACAAGAGCCTGGGCACTGGGACCTCGAGGGGTATATGGCTTACCTGGTTTTCGACGTGCTCCTGGACCTTCGGCCCCGCTCTCTAGAATGAGATCTTCTCCGCCGTGGACTTTTGGATCGTCGCCTACTTCTTGACTTAGAATGTGATCTCCTTCTGGACCTGCTTCTCGATCGTCTAATAGGCAACAAGCAACAAGATTACTACAGGAGTCAAGAAATCACACTCAAGGGTTTAAAATGTGTGATCGTCAAAGTGCCAACATAAAGACAAAGAACTTAAACGAGGACAACTCCAACTTGTTCAGCTAAGCACTCAGGTACTGAATGGAGATCAGTGTCACATAACAATAAATGACTTCACAGAAACGTTTAGGAGGATTCTAGTTCCACCTATAATACAACAGGAACAGTCTTTACAAAATTGTATCGATAGCTCTCCAGTAGCCATCATCACCCTCCCTTCTGAACCAATTTATTTTGCTAGTGGATAGTGCGCGCACACACACACACACACACTCTCCCCCCCCCCCCCCCCCCCCCCCCCCCCCCCCC